CAGGGGAAATAAAGAACTTTATAAATAAGGATCCTTATGCGTTTTGTTCCGATAGGCCTGCTATGCGCTAAAAGGGAAAACGTCTGCATGGGTCTTGTAGCCCTTATGAGTATGGACATCCCATAAACATGGTCATTAATATGGCATCCGTCCCGCTATGTGGCTCCAGCTACCTCAATGTCTTCTGGGAAGGCTTTCCTTGTGCCTGTGGGAATTGGTGCTCATTTGGCCAAAATGGCATTTATGAGGTCAGGTCTGGATGTTGGAGGAGAAGGCCGGGCTCACAGTCACCATTCCAATTCATCCCAAAGGTGTTCAGTAGGGTTGAGGTCAGAACTCTGTGTAGGCCACTTGAGTTCCTGCACACCAAACTCAACAAACCATGTCTTTATGGATTTGTACACAGGGGGCAGTCATGCTGGACAGAAAAGGGCCTTCACCAAACTGGTACCAGAACATTGGAGGAGCCCAAGTGTCTAAAATTACATTGTATGCTATAGTATCAACAGAACGCTTCACTGGAAACACCTGAACTCCATAATTTGGAGGGTTGGCCATATAGTAGGAGTGATGGTCATATGGTAGAAGGGATGGTCATATGGTAGGAGCGATGGTCATTAAGGTAGGAGCGATGGTCATAGAAGGAGTGATGGTCATTCGGTAGGAGCGATGGTCATACGGTAGGAGCGATGGTCATACGGTAGGAGCGATGGTCATTAAGGTAGGAGCGATGGTCATTAAGGTAGGAGCGATGGTCATACGGTAGGAGCGATGGTCATACGGTAGGAGCGATGGTCATTCGGTAGAAGGGATAGTCATATGGTAGAAGGGATGGTCATATGGTAGGTGAGATAGTCATTAAGGTAGGAGTGATGGTCATACGGTAGGAGTGATGGTCATACGGTAGGTGTGATGGTCATACGGTAGGAGTGATGGTCATACGGTAGGAGTGATGGTCATACGGTAGGTGAGATGGTCAGCTGTCCACAAATATTTGGCCATGGAGAGTATTCTAAAATCCATGGCATCCCAGGCAGCGCTTTCTTCTGTCTTCCGCACACAACCAGCTGCACTTGACCACCAACCATTGACCTGGACACGTCAGAATCTTGTAGAGTAGCAGTGCTACAGGTCTCTATTATTGCTCCTCCTACTTTTATTGCTCCGCCTATAAATCATCGTCTGGGGGATATTTTAGGCACCCAGCAGCTGTAAAAGATTTACAAGTACAGAGTTCTGCTCTGTTCTCAGGAGACGGGACAAGACTGCCACGACCTTTGCCTTGGATGGGATCACGGGGAATGGAGCGAGCCACCAGGATGAGCGGGGAAAAGATTTACAGGAAATCGTTCTAAAAGTGTTTCAAGTTACACATTTGGCAGACAAACCTGTGACACGAGTGTAGGGCCAGACAATCTTTTTTTTTTTGTGTCACTTTTGTATAGAGTAGGGAGGGTTAGGACTTCCTTTGTGTTTTATTGCCAACCAGGGATCTGTTAGGAAAAACTCCCCTAACTTCCAGCAAAAGAAATACAGCATGAAGATTGCCAAACCACAAATGAGTCCAAGGGAACTTTAACAGTTTAAAAAAAACAACGCGTTTCATGGTCTGGACACTCCTTCAGAGCTTGCATGTTGTATACACTGAGTGGCCAGATTATAATGACCACCTGACGTTTGTAGGCAAATTAGCTATAATTAGCTATAATTTGGCGCTGAAGTTGCTAGAGGGCCAGACCATTATAAATAGGGAAGCGGGTTGGTTACCACGACAGTAGAAGTGATTCTGCAGATACGAGGAAACAACGCGATGTAACAGCCTTTGAACGTGGGATGATTGTTGGCGCTCTGAGCCATGGAGCGAGTATCAGCAAAACAGCAGAATTTGTTAAATGTTCAAGAGCAGCTGTTGTTAAAGTGTTTAAAGACTGGACTGTCAGCTGAAAATCTGGGTCTGAACGTGCGAATTGTGGCCGTCAGCGACTAGTCAATATTAGGGCAGAACGGGGGAGGGGCAAGACTGGTACAAGACAACAGAAGGACAACAGTGCCGTGTCAGATTCCTCGCATCACCTTTCACCATCTCGTGGAGTCACGAGGCGGCCCAACGAAGTACTGATGGGGTGGTTATAATAATCTGGCCACTCAGTGTATATTCTTATAAGGACTCAATGGCACAATTAGCAAACTGAATTCATATGAACTTTGTGTTCTGTGATGCTGCATTCGGAGGGGATTCTGTATGACTCAGGATACTGAATTCTTACGTTTTTGTGCGTTATATAGGAGTCCAAAATATCCGACCGTATCCCCTCCGAATGCAGCATCACAGAACACAAACTTCATATGAATTCAGTTTGCTAATTGTGCCATTGAGTCCTTATTAAAATATATACAACATCCAAGCTCTGAGGAAGCGGGAGTGCACAGACCCCCAAAACGCGTCAGCCTCCCCCCCCTTCTACAATGAACAATTCAAGCTTTCCTGGACTCAGTTGTGCCTTGGCGCTCTTCGTGCTTTCTCTTTCTGGAATCTGATTCTCGGAACCCCCGTCAGAGTTAGGAGAGCAACATGACCAAGGCCACTGAGCCTTAGCCACTGGGTCCTGCCCACTGGGTCCTGCCAAATGGCACCACCGATTATCAGTATTCCCAGCGCCTCTCCCATATCTATTCCCCCCTCACTTCCTGTCATGCTGACAACAGTTCGATCGGCAATACACATGTGACGGCATTAGATGGAGGCAGTTAGAAGTCTGGAACACAGTATAGTGGTTTCTGGGGTTCATGTCAGTGCAGGTTCTCTGAGCAGTGGCAGGCCTTGTTAGCTGATCTCCCCACCCTTTCATATCACGCTGCGTCTGTGCCCCTCCCCCACTACTGATGACCATCTACCCGGCCCAAGAATTGTCATTCCTCCGCAGGCCCGTGACTGTCAGAGACATGGAGATACAATAAATATTCATCCACGGTGATATGGTTTAGTTTTGGGAGGATACCGGTTGGGGGTGATACCCACCAGGGACTTTCTATGGGACATACAAAGTGCTGGTGAGTTATTTAACCCGCCGATGTCCAGAAAACACTGAAACATGAGTTCTAAAAGGGATCCGTTTTAACTCTACAGTGGTACATAGACCTACGAAGGTGGATCCTCTGCTCTCCACAGTGGAAGAAAGAACACAGAACAGAACCAAAGATTTCACAGGGATACAAGGAAACACTGGTCAGTGGTTTAACATGATTTTGTAGTCTCTGAGCTCACTCTGGGGACACCAGGAAGTGCCGGCTGGGGACCCCAGTGTGACAAAGCAGCACTGTGACACGGGCCGGGCTGGGAAAAGCGCTCATCGGCGTCACCAACTCATGTAAATAATAATATGACCGACCCCTCCAGACGGTCTTAAAGATCATCCAGCGGCTGCAAGTGCACACGTGGGACCCGTTCCTCCCGGCAGCATCCCGATACAAACCGCCAGACCCTCTTCTGCTCCTTCAACGCATTTCTCACCAATAGGGGCTGAGGGGACCTTCATGACTAAAGCTGGTGCTCGAATTTCCTGTAGACTTGGCCGAAATTTAATCCGTCTGGCAGAATTTTGAAATTGACTTTTGTGGAAGGAACCAGGCCGATCGGCTGTAGTCACTGTTTGGGTATTCAGACAGCTGCGGTCACTGTTTGGGTATTCAGACAGCTGCGGTCACTGTTTGGGTATTCAGACAGCTGCGGGCGCCACAGACCGGGCTGAGTGGGAATATCGGCAAGTGTATGGCCAGCCTAAGGGGAGAAACGCATTGGGAGAAGTAGGAGAGAGTCTGTCGGCGAGCGATGTGCTGCAATCTGGCTTTGTGCGTTTGCATTACTCATTGGTTCCTGAGTGGATGTCGCCAACCTATGCAGTCGCCCTGTGAAAACCGAGCTGTGTAATAGGAAGGAGGAAGTGGGGTGGACGGTGCCTGTCACTGGTGAGCCGCCATCCATGTAATCACACAGCGATTCTTCTGTTGCCTGGGCCAACACCAACGCCCCGGGCCAATCTATTATATCATTGGATTTGGTGCAGATACGGCAATCAGGTTCATCTTACAGCAGACCTCAGGAGAGGAGGAAATACCGTTATGTAAAGTTTGACATCCCCAGCATCATTGTTCCAAGGTCTCCCCTTGCTGCAGATCATATACAGGCCGTGAGCACAGCGCCATCTAATGGCTGAAGACGGCAAGTACAGATTATTCAATACCTGGTTCCATGCTTGATCTTTGCTCTCGATCGATCTTTATCTTGTCTCTGTGAAGTGTTTCTCAGGGTGAGTAGCTATAAACAGAGCTTATGCAACGGGTGCGATCCAAGCTAGCAAATATAATGTACATTTTGAACGCCTTTTAGCCCTGTGCAAGCTGTACAGAGTCTACATCCGCCCTGTACAGTGACTGTAATCCCATGCCATGCCTACCAAGTGCATAGTCTGCTCCTATGGACGGCATACGGAGCCCTGCAGGGGGTACACTCCACCCCCTTACAGGTCAGGCAGTCCAAATCACACAGGTCCTGGTACTGAACGTCCTCTGACAAAGTTAGGTCTGAATGGACAGCAACTCTTTAAGTAAGTGTACATGGGCCGTAAACAACTCTAGTGTTCCCAGTTCTGCCGCTCTCAGATAGGGACACCGCCATCGTGTGCCGGGGGGACACGTACAGCCATGGAGATGAAGGCGAGTTGAGGAAACGGATTCTGTTCGGACATTCCTTCCTGGTGAGCAGAGGATATTATATTCCCATTCGGTCCATGAACCAGCCACAAGCATGCTGGGAAGTACAAGAAATACCGATAAACGTTTGTGCTGTACCCATGCCGGGCATCTCCTGGGCACGGGCCTCTGTGGCTTTCAGACCCTACAGACAGTATTTTGCAGACAGACAGACAGACAAGCCCTTGGATGTGTCGACGTGTAGAAGTCTTAGGAACGCAGAGCTGCAGCTTTCCAACACAACTCCTGGAGCGGATGAGGATGGATGGACGACTCAGAAGAGGTCTTCAGGGACGGTAAAGTGATGCAGCAACGATAGCCGGGTTCTGCATGCGCCACCTCTCATGTTGGCTCCTGCTTGGCATTGTCCGGGGGTACCATGCATGATAACCCTCCCGCTCCAAGGAAAGAGTGTTAAGCTTGCTTGGCCGGTGGCCCAGATCCCACCACAGGGGGGCAGTGGACTGATACCTAGGAAGTCTATGGCGGAGCCGATTACACGGCCACCTCTGAGGTTTTGGAAAGTCCCAGCGCCTGCACCAGATCGTCACTCAAGCCGCTCTTCAAGGTTCTCCGCACTGTGGAGAGAGGATGACAATCATGGAAATTATGAATGAGAAACAATAAAGGCAGCAGATTTTAGGCAAAGTGATAGGTTCTACTGATAAGGAGAACCCCCCCCCCCTCCCCTCCCCAACTGATACACAACCCATGGTAGTCAATTAAAGGAGAACTATGGGGTCAGGGCTTTCCCCCATAGTTCTCCTAAGGGTAACGGGAGGACACAAACTAGCGTCCTCCCGTCACCCAAAGCTCAGTATACCGCGAGCTACAGGAGGATCGGACAGGGGAGGGGGGGAATCCCTGCAGGGAGCCATGAGTGACAGTCACGGCTCTCTGCAGGGATAGATCGAGAAGTGAGCGAGCGCCGGTATGTGTTCGCTCACTTCCCGATCTACTGAGCCGACCTGTGACAGTCTCATTGTCACACGTCGGCTCAGATTATGAGGCTGAGTGAAAATCACTCGCCTCATAGTTCTCCTTTAATCTGCGCTAATGGAAGTCAATCAAGAAACAACAGAGGTTAAAAGCTGCTACACAAAGGCTATTGCCTGATGGGGCTGAATGAAATGATTTGCATGGCTCCGCCCACTGCCCTGAAAAGCGGAATAATGCTCTTATTTTTGGGATTGTGTTAAGGAGAATGCTCTCCTGTGCCACCTACTATATACTCCTGTATGACAGATACCAAATGTAGCGGCTGTAAGGCAGGAAGTCATGTCCAGAATTTGCCAGCAGGGGGCAGAGTTGTACTTACGGGATTTCCTGTTTGCTCTTGATCTCTTGCGTTCTTTCGGAGCCATCACCCTCGGGTTGGGGTTCTGTGTCACAGATTGCACGAGTCTATCCATAATCTCATCAGAAGTGTCTACAGGGGACGTCGCCGACTCCTCCTTGTTCCCGGACAGGTCAGGTGGACTGGCACGGCCTAAACCTAGAACAAGGATACAGGGGTTAGAAAGAGTACAGAAAGGAGCGGTCTTTGCATGTTATAGTATAGTCCCTGGTCTCTGCTCATTTGGTAGACATCATACTTCGGGTGACTTACATCCACCCATCCAACTAGATATTTTACTGTCCAAGGACACAGACTCCCAACACGCTCCAGCTGTCTCAGTACTCCTCTCAACTGCCCTCAGTCCTGATGCAAGCAGTGGGCGGGCTCTTGGAGGGAGTTATGCAAATATTAAAATGCCTTGATGGGTGGGTGTCAAGTCTGGAGGAGTGGGTGTTCCTAGGCAGGCTGTATTTACATGCAGACCACCCTAGGCAATGCCCACATGTGATAGTGATCCTCCATGCTTGAAAGAACTGAATGGAAGGGGTGGGCCAGGAACAGTAAGGCCCTAGCCTTAGCAAAGTACTAGATGATGCTAGACATCCTCCAGCTAGGAAATGAGGCCGGCTCTATCTGACTTGTTGCAGCTTCTAATACAAGGTTGAAGTTCAGATTTAATCAAATCTTTAAATGAAGCATTTTGGAGGGATTGCCTCTCATTTCCTGTCGTGTCTCTGGGACAGGAAATGAAGGGTAATCATCACAATGAGAAACCGGTAGCAAAATTAAAACCTGGTTAAGATTTAGGGATGCACCAATACCGATATTTTTTGTTTGGTACTCGCCGATACCGAAAGTCCCATTCAGGAAGCCAGGCGGCGTGTAACGACTCGCCACCTGGCTTCCTGATTAGCAGGGAAGCTGTCCCCATGCTTCTCGTCACTAGGTGACGAAAAAGCATGGAGCCGGCTTTCTGGCCAATCAGGAAGCTGGGCGCGGCGCCCGGCTTCCTGATTGGCCAGGAAGCCGGCTCCATGCTCCCTCGTCACCTCATGACGAGGGAGCATGAAACCGGTTTCCCGACCAATCAGAATCCCGGTGCCGCGTCATTACATGGCGCCCGGCTTCATGATTAGCCAGGTTCCGACCAATCAGGAAGCCGCGCAGCACGTCATTACATGCTGCCTGGCTTCCTGATTGGCCGGGAAGCCGGCTCCATGCTCTTTCGCCAATCGTGGAATGACGCGCTGCTCGGCTTCCTGATACAGGAAGTATAGGGCAAGGCATCGGAGCATTTGGGCGAGTACTCGCACTCGCTCAAATACTCGGCATCGGCACCGCTATCGATAGTAGTATCGGTGAATCCCTAATTCTGACCTTTCCCTACTATATCCCAAAAAGCTTGGCTTTATATACACTTTAAGCAGGGGTGGACAACTGCGGCCCTCAAGCTGTGCTTTAACTACAAATCCCAACATGCATCTGTCCCTGGGAGTCATGCCTGTGGCAGTGAGAATCTTGCAATGCCTCCTGGGACTTGTAGTTCCACAACGGCTGGAGGCGCCCACCCCTGGCTTTAAAGGATCACTAGTTAGAGATAATTTCCAACAAAACAGACAGATGACAATTCGTACTTCTGACGCCTCTGCTCCTCCGTGTGTTCTGTTCTCCGCTGGAAGAGATCAGCATGTTGGTCATGTTTTCGTGGCCCTCCTGGGACGTCTGTGTGTGTAACCTAGAACTGGTCATTGTTACGTTGTTTTCCGTGGTGCTCGCCGCGTTAGAGAACTTTGCAGTCTGTGAAGATTCAGACACTGACATTAATATACAGGAATATGTGATCCAGCCATACTGGATGGAGGAAGAACCTTAATGTAAACCACATGCATTATACAGATTATACATGTTCGATATATTATAGATTATAATAGCAGAATTGTTCGGATCTCTAAATATCAGCTATTGGCCATTTTGTCTCAGATTCTGCCAGCAGGAGCTGCTAATATGCAAATTAAATGATCGAAGTGCATTAAAATACCTATTGAACCTGACAGGAACCCAGCGAGCTCATAACTTCCAGGTTGAGCTGACAACATTGGCTCTGTTGCACTGAAACCCCAAGCAGTGTTGTCAGCCCTAAGGTGGTGCACGGGGAAGGAAGCGGCATCCCTGAGGTGATGCACGGGGAAGGAAGCGGCATCCCTGAGGGGGTGCACGGGGAAGGAAGCGGCATCCCTGAGGTGTTGCACGGGGAAGGAAGCGGCATCCCTGAGGTGGTGCACGGGGAAGGAAGCGGCATCCCTGAGGTGATGCACGGGGAAGGAAGCGGCATCCCTGAGGTGATGCACGGGGAAGGAAGCGGCATCCCTGAGGTGATGCACGGGGAAGGAAGCGGCATCCCTGAGGTGATGCACGGGGAAGGAAGCGGCATCCCTGAGGTGATGCACGGGGAAGGAAGCGGCATCCCTGAGGTGATGCACGGGGAAGGAAGCGGCATCCCTGAGGTGATGCACGGGGAAGGAAGCGGCATCCCTGAGGTGATGCACGGGGAAGGAAGCGGCATCCCTGAGGTGATGCACGGGGAAGGAAGCGGCATCCCTGAGGTGATGCACGGGGAAGGAAGCGGCATCCCTGAGGTGATGCACGGGGAAGGAAGCGGCATCCCTGAGGTGATGCACGGGGAAGGAAGCGGCATCCCTGAGGTGATGCACGGGGAAGGAAGCGGCATCCCTGAGGTGATGCACGGGGAAGGAAGCGGCATCCCTGAGGTGATGCACGGGGAAGGAAGCGGCATCCCTGAGGTGATGCACGGGGAAGGAAGCGGCATCCCTGAGGTGATGCACGGGGAAGGAAGCGGCATCCCTGAGGTGATGCACGGGGAAGGAAGCGGCATCCCTGAGGTGATGCACGGGGAAGGAAGCGGCATCCCTGAGGTGATGCACGGGGAAGGAAGCGGCATCCCTGAGGTGATGCACGGGGAAGGAAGCGGCATCCCTGAGGTGATGCACGGGGAAGGAAGCGGCATCCCTGAGGTGATGCACGGGGAAGGAAGCGGCATCCCTGAGGTGATGCACGGGGAAGGAAGCGGCATCCCTGAGGTGATGCACGGGGAAGGAAGCGGCATCCCTGAGGTGATGCACGGGGAAGGAAGCGGCATCCCTGAGGTGATGCACGGGGAAGGAAGCGGCATCCCTGAGGTGATGCACGGGGAAGGAAGCGGCATCCCTGAGGTGATGCACGGGGAAGGAAGCGGCATCCCTGAGGTGATGCACGGGGAAGGAAGCGGCATCCCTGAGGTGATGCACGGGGAAGGAAGCGGCATCCCTGAGGTGATGCACGGGGAAGGAAGCGGCATCCCTGAGGTGATGCACGGGGAAGGAAGCGGCATCCCTGAGGTGATGCACGGGGAAGGAAGCGGCATCCCTGAGGTGATGCACGGGGAAGGAAGCGGCATCCCTGAGGTGATGCACGGGGAAGGAAGCGGCATCCCTGAGGTGATGCACGGGGAAGGAAGCGGCATCCCTGAGGTGATGCACGGGGAAGGAAGCGGCATCCCTGAGGTGATGCACGGGGAAGGAAGCGGCATCCCTGAGGTGATGCACGGGGAAGGAAGCGGCATCCCTGAGGTGATGCACGGGGAAGGAAGCGGCATCCCTGAGGTGATGCACGGGGAAGGAAGCGGCATCCCTGAGGTGATGCACGGGGAAGGAAGCGGCATCCCTGAGGTGATGCACGGGGAAGGAAGCGGCATCCCTGAGGTGGTGCACGGGGAAGGCAGCGTCATCCCTGAGGTGGTGCACGGGGAAGAGGGCGTCATCCCTGAGGTGGTGCACCGGGACGGAAGCGGCATCCCTGAGGTGGTGCACCGGGACGGAAGCGGCATCCCTGAGGTGGTGCACGGGGAAGGAAACGGCATCTCTGAGGTGGTGCACGGGGAAGGAAACGGCATCCCTGAGGTGGTGCACGGGGAAGGGAGCATCAGGCCTGGGGTGATGTGCGGGGAAAGGAGGTACCAGCAGCCCTAAAGGGAGTGTGTGGGAAAGGAAAACGGCAGCCACGGGGAGGTGTGTCCTTCTCTGTATAACAGTATCACACATAATGACACTCATTCATTGCAGAGAAGTCTCTCTATAGCACCAGCTACCAAATCCAAGCCTACGGGGAGAGGCGAGGACCTGTTTTATTAGTGCACCTGCCCTAATGTACTTTAAAGTGACATTAAAGGCAATTTTGTTTTCCACCCCCCAAAGCCAATGTAAGGACTTACCTTAAATGATGCCTCCTTATCCGATCATCTTCTTTCCCTTAGTTTTTAGGAGTCCCTCCAGCGCTGGTGGCAGTCTCTTATCCAGCGCTGACTCCTCTCTCTTCCTGGCACTTCCTGTCTCACGGAGTCTATGCGGGGGCACGCTGTCTCCGTTGACTTACCTTGCGTCTCTCGGCCGAAGATCTGAACTGCGCGCGTGCCCGCCCCGTGATCCTTTGCGGCCACCCGAGAATCTTCAGATCTTCGGGATGGAGCGCGCGGCGGAGACACAGGTAAGTTTAAACCTATCTGTTGCCTTTTTAAAAAAAAATGTTTTTGCATATATCTACTGCTTGCTAGCAATAGATATATGCAAAAAAACGTGAGGGTTTTATAATCCTTTAAGCCACTGGTGTGTAGTATATGAACTCACCACAAGATGGCGACATTGTACTGTTTTACGGTACAGCTGATGTAAATCTCACTGGGACAAAGTCATGTTATTGGTTCTGCACTGAGATTACCTCTGTGATCATCCTCCCTCGCGTCTTGTTGCGCTCCCTGTAAGCCGCTCGCTTCTGCTTTTGCTGTAAGACTCTTTCGCGGGCGGTTCTGTACTCCAGAGCAAATTCGCTAATAATCCGGCAGAAACGGGTAATTTTCATATCCCGGACAGATGAATAGGTGTACCCCAAATACAACAGGAACGAGCGGAACCTGCGGAGGGAGCACAAAGTCATTCATTAATAACACTATGGAGGAACCAATCCGTCACCTTTTATATTGAACTGTTCCAAATGGATGGTGGCTAGATTCTCATTGGCTGCAGGAAGTTATTTAACATGCCTATACTGTATGTGAAGGAATACTGGCCCATTCAAATGTATTACATTTACATGTAGAGTACATAGAACTGTACTTTCCGCAAGCACCTGCACCAGAGGAGCTTGCAATCTAATGCCACTATAGCTGCTGTATAGACACAGATCCTGCTTTCTATGGTCCATTTAACAATCACTTGCCATTTGTGGGAGGGAGGGAGAGAAAGAGAGAGAGAATGAGAGAGAGGGGGGAGGGAGAGAATGAGAGAGAGGGGGGAGAG